TGGATGGGTGGATGGGTGGATGGATGGATGGGTGGATGGATGGATGGGTGGATGGGTGGATGGATGGATGGGTGGATGGATGGATGGATGGATGAAAGGATGGGCGGGTGGATGGGTGGATGGGTATAGGGAAGTGTAAGTGGGTGACTAGGAGGGTAGAAGCATGGATAGTTAAATGAGTGGGGAAGGAAGAAGGTTGGCTGATAAGATGGCTGCATGGGTGGTGTAAAGAAGTAAATTACCCACTTCACATCTGTGGCAAGCAGATGTGAAGAGCAGAGTGCCCTTAGAGATCGAAGTCCAGCCCCCATCACATTTCACTCGGAAACCAAGGCAGGAAAAGCTGGTGCTTATCCTTAAGCAGCAGGGAGGTCCAGGCAGGGCCGGAACTGGGGTCTGAGGGTCTAGCCCCGTGCGGAGGGGGTACGACGCCCCATCCCCCGTGCCTGACAGTGCCAGGGTGGGGGGAGCGCCCCGCCCCCATCCCGGAGGTGACCCCCCACGCGGCCGCAACAAGCTGCCGTTGTCCTGCGGGCCGTGGGCCCGGCACACTGGGGCTTTGTCCGGCTCCCCGCCACGACCCACGGGGGCGGGGCACATGACTGAGGGGTAGGAGGAGCCTGCGGCGGTGGAGGCGGCGGCGGAGGCTCCATCATCTGCCTGCCCGGCCGGGGGTCGGCCGGCGGTGGCGGCTGCACTGGTCTGGCCAGGGCCGCAGACGCCGGGCCCCCAGTTCCCCACCACGTTGCAGACGCCGGGCCTGGGCCACCAGGGCAGCTGCGACCCAAGCGCTCTCCAGGCGGCGAGCAGGGGGTTCGCCCGGCCCCCCGGGCCCTGGATCATGGGGAATGGCATGACCAAGGTAGGGGGCGAGACACGGGGTCGACCGAGCCTCCGACCTTCTGCCCCGCTGCTGCTAGCCCTGGGCCCTGGGTCCGCCTGTCTGTCCCCTGAGCCGCCCAGGACGCTGCTGTCCGTTGTCTCAGTCTTTGCCTGTCTGTTCTCTGACTCTGTATCTCTTGCTGCCTTTCTGTGGCTGTCCTTCCCGAGCTCCCTCTCTCCAGGCAGTCCCTGTCTCCGTCTTGCGTGTCTGTCCCCAGTCTCTGACCTCTTGGACTGGCACTGTTTGGCCATCCCCTGCAGCCCCTGCCGGCTTCAGTCTGCCCTGCTCCTGGCCCACTCCTCCCCTAGGACTACCTCTCCTCCCTCAGGGTGCCTCAGCACCCCTCCTCCCTCTCACCTGTCCCCAGACCAGGCCCCTTGGTCCCTCCCTGTGGCCAACTTGCTTGTCTGCTCTCCCATCCTTCCCCAGCCCCAGACCCCTCTCACAAAGGGCTCAGGGCCATGAAAGGGAGTCAGTTGCTCCCCCAGGTCCCTTCATGGGACAGAGGGGCTGGGGTCCCCCAACAGCCAGGGGTGGGAAAAGGTGCAGTCTAACCACTGGCCCCTGCCTGTCCTTCCTCTAGGTACTTCCTGGACTCTACCTCGGAAACTTCATTGGTGAGCACTTCCCACTCTGTCCCAAGGCTATGGCTCCGTCTGTCCATGCCATGCTGGGAGGGGAAAGGGCTGGTGGAGGATGAGGGGCAGAGTCTCATGGGCAGGGGTGTCACCAGGCCTGAAGGGTCAAGGAGGGAACCTCGGGGGTCTGACGCTGACATCCTTCCCCATTCAACCTTCTGCCCACTTCCAGTACAGGGCAGCACCAAGGGCTCACAGTGCTGCCTCAGGCCTGGGCAAATCAGCTCTGAGCTCACCTGCTCCACACAAGGCCCTCAGGCCCTAGGGCTCTTCTGGCCCCAAGGTTCAGCTCTGCTCTCCCTCATCGTCCTTGCAGGAGGGCTCTGGAGATGCTGTCTTCTGGCAAGCAGAGTCCTAACAGACCCCCTCGTCCAGCAGAACCCCTGAGAGCAGCAGCTGGGAGGCCTGGTTGGGGCGGGTTCTGAACCTGCAGGCTCCCATCTTCCCTTCAGCATCTGTCTTTTCCACAATAGCCCTTGGGTGGGGGGAGGGGCACAGGTGTGGAGCTAGCCCATCCCTGCCCTCAGGGGCCTTCAAGCAGCAGTAGAAGGCAGGTCTGAACACAGACCTTTGCCTCTCGGGTAGAAGACACCTTGAGACAGGTAGTCCAGAGCTTGGGGGACCCGAGGTGGAAAAGTCACTCCAGTCTGTGGAGTCTGAGAAGGTTCCAGAGGGCTCGGGTGCTGCACTCTCCTCACCTGGGCCCCTTCCTTCCTGGGAGTCACCTCAGGAGCTCCAGCCACAGTGAGTATCTGGCTAAGTGAGGTCTGAATCCTCTTCAAGTGTGTAGGTCCCATGAGGACAGGAGCCATGGAGTTGTCCCCAGTCTGCCAGTGCCCCGCCAAAGGCTGCACATAGTAAGCCCCATGGGAAATGTTTGTTGAATGAGGAAGTGGACATAGGGAGACAGAGGGGCTGTGTGTTATTTTTCTGGTTAGAAAAGATCTGTGCACAGTGAACACAGCTCCGAGAGGTAACCACTGGTAGTATTGTGAGGTGTATCCCTGAGTCCTTCTTTGCACAGCTTAGATGCAGATATGACACTGAAAACAGAGTGGAAACCTATCCTGTGTTTCCCACCTGAAACTATTGTGAACATCCTTTCAGCACACCGAGACCATTTTAATGGCAGCACAGTATTCCAAAGTACCCAGCTCCCTTTTGATGGACATGAGGTTGTTTCGGTTGTTTGGCTAGAACGCCAGTCTCCACATAGCTTTCTGTGCGCTTTCTGCAGTCCCCATATTCCTAGAAGTAGAATGGCTAGGCCAAAGGATGTGCTGGGAAGGGTGCTTGGCATGGAAAAAAACAGCATGAACAAGGCCAGGAGATGCTGGGCTGCATCTGGTGGGTACCTCGGGGGTGAGGAGGAGAGCGTGGGCATCGGGCTGTCACTGCACGTCCCTTAGGATAAGTCACACCTGCCAGCTTGGCTCAAGCATCCTGCTTCTTTCAGATGCCAAAGACCCGGATCAGCTGGGACGGAATAAGATCACCCACATCATCTCTATTCATGAGTCGCCCCAGCCTCTGCTGCAGGTACTCAGAACCCCATGCCAGAGCTGGGCATAGCTGGGGAGGGTGGGCTGTAGACCTTAGCAGCACCCACAGATCAAGTGTGTACTATGTGCTAGAATTTCCTTCCTGACCCATGCTTACTCCTTCCTTCTTCACCACTGGACTGTTTTACATTTTCATCCCTATATAGCACCTGAGGCCCAGGGAGGTAAATTAACTCTCCTCAGGCTGCACATCCAGGAAGTGGGTCAGCTGGGATGTGAACGCAGACTATCTGGCCCCAGAGGTCTCACACTGATCCTTAACAAGGCCCCCATGGAGAGTAAGGATGTAGCTCAGTGGGGGAGTGCTAGAGTAGCATGCACAAGGCCCTGGGTTCTGTCCCCAGCACCTGGGGGGTGTGTGTGTGTGTGTGTGTGTGTGTGTGTGTGTCCCACACAGGCTTCCCATTGCCCAACTGGTTAGATGATTGCAAACAGATGATTCTGGGCTCTGTGTCTTGCTATGCAATCTTGAGTTGTGACTTCACCTCTCTTGGACCTTTGATCCCTCAGCCCTGACTGCTCCCAGGGGCTGCTATGATGCCAAAAAGAACTGCAAGATGGTGAAGTTGCTTTGCACACTGGGCATGTTCCCCGCTGGAGGGCTGGTACTGGTGTTACCAAGTCCTGGGAAAAGAGGAGGAAAGTGGGAAATCCAGGTCATGGTGCTAGAATCAGGAGACCTGAGTTCACATCTTCACCACTCACTCTCTTTGTAAGCTTGGGTACAGGACTTCCCCCTCTGAGCCTGTTACCTGATCTTTTAAATGGGAATTTCATAATAGTACCTACTTCACTGAGCTACGAGATGCTCAACAAATTACAACTGAAATGTCAAAGGTAAAATATCCTTACTCCATAAACAAGATCCCCTTCCTCCTCATCTGCTAGAGTCTGTGTCATCCACAGAAGGGAAGGAACTGCGGGTGGGAAAAGGCTATGGTGAGACAGAAACCAGGTTCTGCCACATACTTACTGTGTGACCTTGGGCAGGATCCTTCCCCTCTCTGGACCTCAACGTTTTCACATGTCAGTTCTGATGGTCTCTAAGGGCAGCCTCCAGTAATATATGACTTTCAGAGTCCAAGAGGAAATTTTCCAGCCAATAGAGTCTGAGTTTGCTTTATAGGGCAGCCTCATTTTGGAGTATTTAGAGTATGCAGTCTAAATACATTGCACTGGGAGGGCTGTTGAGTTATTAATATATTCGGTAATGAAATGACTGTTTACAGTGTAAGTCCCTACCCCAACAGCTCTCCCTTCTCACTAGCATCTCTCCCTCCCATCCATAAGTGAATTTAGCAGTCAGGGTTTGATAATGCCATGCAAAGCCAAGGCCAAATGTGTTGCAAAGTGAAATTGCAAACCTTGCAAAAGATGCACGATTTCATGACCTTGAGGAGCAGGCACTAGAGAAGGGCTATAACCTCATGCAAAGCCATGGAGAAATGAGGACCTGGCTGGTGGTAGGATAGGCCCCTGAAAAGGTTATTTAAAATATCAAAGCATCAAGGGAGGTCCTTGAGAAAAAGCAGTGAGGTCCTTGGAGCATGAGCAAAAATAATCTTTTGCAATATTGGGTGGCAGTTAGGCAGGAGCAAAGGATATCATAGCAAGAATTTTGGAAAAATTATACACACTTTATTCCTTGACTATTCTAACAAATAGCAATGGTTTTCTAGCTATAACTCATGAAATGAAAACTTGATTTTATAAAATTTACTTCTTTTCAGGGTAATCAAATCTGCTTTGTGCTTTTTACTATGTAATTCTATAATTCCACTTGGAAAGGAGTTGCTTTAAAAAGTTTCCTAGGTCCTTCTTGTGAAGTCACCTATGGGGTTAGGACATCATCCACGCAGAGGCATGGCATCACAGCAGAACTGGAGGCCCACAGAGATGGTGTCAACTTTCTTTGAACAGAGAGACAACAGTGGCCCAGAGAGGGGCAGGAACTAGGCTGGGGTTGCACAGTGCTTGGGCAGCTCAGGCTGGGGCTGGAAAGGGTGCAGACAAAGCTCCCCTGCCTGAATATGTCTTGTACTTGCAGGATATCACCTACCTTCGCATCCCAGTGGCTGATACCCCTGAGGTACTCATGTAAGTTCCCCAAGATGGACCAACAGATGGACAGACAGCTGTCACCTATGGTGCAGGGGAGGGGAAAGGAGGTCTGAGGGAGGACAAGAAATACTCAGGCCAAAGCTCTCCCAGGGGACCCAGACCCAGGTCTGATTCTGTCTCAACCATGCCCTTGTGTTATGTCCCTGGCCAAAACTCATCCTCTGAACTTCAGTCTCAGCTATGAAATGACTCCTGGGATCAGGTGCACCAGCAGATGTGAAAGAATCGAGCTCAGCCTGTTCCTGGCCTTGGAGTGAAGACAGCTGGCTCCTGGCCAGGCGTTGCCATTTATTGCTGTGTGACCTTGGACAAATAACTTCCCTCTTCTGAGCCTCTCTGTAAAACAGGGGGTGTGATCAGAGTCAAGGAGGCTTTCAATGATCAGATGACACAGGTGGAGGATTTAGGACCAGGCCTGGCGTATAGTAGAGGTCCCCAAAACAGGACTTTCATTTGCATCTCAGCATCAGTGCCCCCAGGTTGGGATGGGCCTGAACCTAACTCCTGCCCTTTGAGGGTCTTGGTCCCAGCCCACCGCTGGCCATCATTGTTACCAGATACTCTGCATACAGACCCTGGAAGAGTAGGCCTCTGTGTCTCCTCCCACACATTTCCTTGAAAGGTAATCCCAGCGCTCAGGAGGCTGAGGCAGAAGAATCACGAGTGTCTTAGCTACCTTCTGGTTGCTGAGACACAATACCCAACACCCACAATTTAAGGGAAGAGAGGTTTATTTTGGCTCACAGTTCGAAGAGGTGACAGTCCACAGTCACCTGGCTCCAAGGCAAGGTGGTGTGGCACAGGGGCACGGCAGAGGAGAGACGCCTCATGGTGTGGCAGCAGGAGACAGAGAGAGACCGAGGAGGGAGAGAGACCCTCCAGGCCACGCCTCCTGTGACCCCCCTCCTCCAACCAGGATTCACTCCCATCCTCACCTTTAGCTGTAAACGCATCAGTGGACTAAGCCACGGATAGTATCATGTCGCAGTGATCCAGTCATCTCCCAAAAGCCCCATGAGCTTATGTGCACATGGCACTTTGGGGGGACGTCTAGATATAAACCATAGTGATGAGTGTGAGCCCAGCCTCAACAACACAGTTTAGCCTGGGCTACATAGTGAGACCTTATCTACTCCCCAAAAAGCAAACAATCCTCAGGACCCACTGGGAAGCTGCTCTGCCCAGATGGTGTTTGACTCTCGCCCCCTGAAAGGCCACCCTGCTGCCTCCCACCCACTCAACCTCGTGTTATAGCATTGACCCTGCTCATTGCACGCGCTGGCTGGCCCGAGGACCTGGAGCTTTCTTTTCAGTACAGAGGATTGGACCCAGGGCCAGCCGCATGCGAGGCAAATGATCTACCACTCACCTACATCCCCAGCACTTTTTAAAAAATTTCATTTTGAGACAAGCTCTCCCTAAAGTTCCCAGGCCAGCCTCAAACTCAACATCCTAGCTTAGCCTCCTGGAGCAGCTGGGATTACAGGCGCCACCACACCCAGCACCCCAGGGTTCTTTGTCTTTTGCTAGCCTGTAAATGGGGAAGGGACACCTCCTAAAAGCCCTACCCTCAGCACTACCCTATTGCTTTTCTCTCTAGCAAAAAGCACTTCAGGGAATGCATCAACTTCATCCACTGCTGCCGCCTCAACGGAGGGAATTGCCTCGTGCACTGGTGAGTGACGAGCTCGGGCAGGCAATGAGGGCTGTTCTCTGTCCTGGAGAGAGAGCTCCCCCACCCCACTATGGTGGTGACAGCCCACCATGCACCCTACATGGCCAATCAGAGGCTTGTGCCAACATCCTGTTCCTCACCAGTGGGGTAGCCATGGCCCAGCAGCTATTTCTCCCCAAGACTCAATTTCCTTATCTGTAAAATGGGAGGAGAATGTTGAGCTGACCAGGTGGTGGAGAGGTGAGCCCGTGGGCTCCCAGCTCTTCTCTCAGGTCTTTGAGGCGAGGGTGCAGGGCAGTGGGGAACCTGCACTTGGAGTTGGGACCTGAGTCTTCTCAGATTCCCTGGCCCTGCTGATGTCATTCACCCCTAAACTCCTAACCAGGCACCTATCATATGCCAGGGTCCTGCTGGCTCTGCTGGAGCCTGTTCTAGGGACCAGCTCGCTCCATTCTAGTCTGCCCCACCCTTCTCCCCTTGTCCAGCCGCACTAACCTCCCCATTCTTCATATCTACAGGGCTTTCCTCTCACGATCTTCACACTCTCATTCTTGACTAACCCTTTCCTATCTTTCAAGATTCACCTTGATGTCACTTCCTTGACAACCTCTTCCCTACCCCCCCATGAATACCTTCTCCTATGTGGGCATCCTCATCTTCAAAGCAGTTACCCATGCCTGAAACTCACTAGTCAGTGTGTCTCTCACAACCAAACCTTAAACTCTAGGACAGCAAGAGACCGTGTCTATTCATTCTCCACTGTCCTTAGTACCTGGACAGGAAAAGTTGTTTGTTGAATGAATGGTTGTTGTTTCACCCAGCCCTTTGCTGTGGGAGACAATGCCAGGCAGAGAGAACCTCACAGGCCAAGACCTGTAGCTAGGAGGACAGGCCCTGGAGGTCCCTTGTGGTTGGAGCTGAGGAGGCAAGGGTAGGGGAGCTGAAGTGGGGATGGGGTGCTGGGGGGCGTGGAGAGGCTGGACCTTACCTGAAGCCTGGGGGTGGGATCCCAGCTTTGCAGGCATCTCCCGCAGCACCACCATTGTAACAGCCTATGTGATGACAGTGACGGGGCTAGGCTGGCGAGAAGTGCTTGAAGCCATCAAGGCCACCCGGCCCATCGCCAACCCCAACCCAGGCTTTAGGCAGCAGCTTGAAGAGTTTGGCTGGGGGAGCTCCCGGAAGGTAGGGGTGGAAGGGGCCGGAAGGGGCCGAGCTGGGGGAGGCAGGGCGTTGAGGGGTCAGGGTGGGGTAGCGAGTGGGGACACAACCTTCCTCCTACCTGAAGGAATATCAGTTGATAAGAATTCAGACCTGGCTCAAGATTTTCCTGAGCTCGAAACTTGGGACCTCGAGCTAATCCTGCTCCTTGGCATAGTTTGTTGTAACAGCTGTGCTCCTTATTAACCTAGAATGTGGCTGCCTTTAGACCAGAGTGGGGACCCTCTTGGGTGACCAGGGGTCCCAGGCTCCCTCTGGCAGCTCTGCTCCTTGGAGGTATTTGAGGATCTGACCTCTGACCACGTAAGGGAGTGTGTTCACGTGCTTGTCTGACCCTGGGTCTTCCGGAGCCCAGTGCAATGCCTTGTCATAGGTTCTGGGGAGATGCCGTGGGGAACTGGCAGAAATTGACACTGGGAACAAGGGGTGAGAGGACGGAGAGGAGATCCCAGGAGGGAAGGCTCTTAGCAGGTAGCAGGCCGGTCCCAAGAAACTATCTGCTGGGCCTGGGAGAACCACAGGGGACACAGGCTGGGGAGAGGACCGGACCCCGTGACCCTCGCCGCTGGCTTCCGTCCACGCAGCTCCGCCGGCAGCTGGAGGAGCGCTTTGGCGAGAGCCCGTTCCGCGACGAGGAGGATGTGCGCGCGCTGCTGCCGCTGTGCAAACGCTGCCGCCAGGGCTCTGCGACCTCAGCCGCCTCAGCCACACCACACTCGACCGTCTCAGAGGGGACTCTGCAGCGCCTGGTGCCGCGTGCGCCGCGGGATGCCCACCGGCCGCTGCCGCTGCTCACGCGTGTGAAGCAGACTTTCTCCTGCCTCCCGCGGTGTCTGTCCCGCAAGGGCAGCAAGTGAGGCCCCTGCCTACTGGCGGGCCCCTTTCTGGGCCTCCCCAACCGGGACGGGCCTGAGGGTGCAGGAGTCCCCGGTGGCCTGTCCCCTCGCCTGCCCCTGCTTGTCGCGTCCGCAGTGTGCTGCTCTCCATGCCCTCTGTGCGTCTGTGGTCTGTGTCTGGCCAGCCTGCTGCAGCCACCTGGTGCCTTAGTCCCTGGGCTGGGGAGGGCCCGACCTCCACCCTGAGAGACAGTGGAGTGGGCGGGGTGGGTGGGGTAGGGTGGAGGGCCTGAAGGACATTAAAGAGACACAGAAGCTGCCTGTCCCAGTGTCTCATCATTCCCAAAGGCCAGACGCAGGAACTGGAGAAACGGAGAGAGGAGGGAGGCTGTGCCTGGATCACACCTTCACTAGCTGCAGTCTGCGGGGTTGAGGCCTGGGGCCAGGCGCTAATCTGACACTCCCTCACCCACCCGCCCAGGCTCCAGGAGCCTGGGCCCCTGACCAGGCCTCTGAGTCCCGCTTCTCTTCCCTCTCTTTGAGACCCCCTCCTCTTCTCTCGTGCCCCCCTACTTCCTAGTCACAAATGCTGACCAGCGGGTTCCACAGTGCCTCCCTGGCCTTTTATTGCTTGAGTTAACTTTATCTTCAGGGGAAAAATCCACGTGAGGTGCAGAGAGGTCAGGCAACTTGCTCAAGGACAAACAGCTAGAGCTGGAGAGGCGGGGTGTGAACTTAGTCTGAGTCCCAGCTCCTTCTGGCTTTGGAGGTTATTGGCCAGGAGGAGCCAGCCCCAGCTAGTGGTGATGACCCTTCCGACCTAGCATTTAAAGGCCAACAAAGCAGCAACTGACTCCAAGGGTGAATAGAAGTCATCAGAACCTGTTTTTCTACAACTAACCTGACGCTGAGAGAGATCTGAAGTAGCTGTAACCCCACAGTCACTTGATGGGCTTCTACTTGTGCACCACGCACTGAAACAGCGCTGTGAGGGAACACAGATCCTTGCATGGGTGTGGGGAGGGATAACCCTTCCCTGCCACCCAGTTGCATGCTGGAGACAAGCTACGGCAGTAAACAACACCTCTACCTTCTTGTTGCTGATGTGCTGGTGCAGAACACATGGTAAATCAAAGAACACACACCAGAAGGAGCATTCCAGGCAGACAAAACAGGAAGAGACAAGTCCCCAAGAGGATAGAGAGTGAAAACAAGGTGGCTGGGCTCCCCAGAGTCCTACAAGCCCGTATCCTCCCGGCTGGTTAGTAGTAGTGCCGCCCACCCAGGTAAAACACCTGTCTGCTGTTTAGAAACCTCTATGGGCCCATCTAGCCCCTTGGTCCGGTGTCCTGGCTTTTCAGAATGCTTCCTTGCCCTTCCAGCATAACTTCCCACACTCCAGCTAAACAATGCATCCCTCTCTCATGGACACTCACTCCAGCCATCGGCTAAACTTTATCTTCATCTCAGTTCATCAAGCAAAGCAGTGTTGCTATTCAGAAGCTGAGGGAACCCAGGATGGTGTCCAAGGCCATCAGCTAGCAAGTAGTGGGGCTGCAATATGAATGCAGGCAGTCTGGCTGCATCTGCACCTTTTATTACTGCCCTCTGAAATCTAGAAAAATACAGAGAAGGTTAGAAACTCCTGCTTGGATGTATCATCTGCCTCAGACTCTACATCCAAAAATTCAACCAACCTCAGATAAGAAATATTCCAAAAATAGTACATCTGTCCTGAACCTGCAGACTTTTTTCTTGTCATTATTTCCTAAACAATAAAGCATAACAACTGTTCACATAGAACTTACGTTGCATTTGGTGTTATGAGTCATCTAGAGGTGATTTAAAGTCTTCGGGAAGATATGCACAGATTATATGCAAATACTGTGCCATTTTATATAAAGGGCTTGAACATCCATGAATTTCAGTAGCAAGGGGGACCTGGACCCCAAGGGACACCACCTCTGAAGTGCGTGGTGGCCCACTGGAGCACCATAGGCATGAGTCTGAGCCCAGCCTGTGTGGGAAGGGCTGCTGGCCAGCCTGTGGGGGCTGGGGAGGGGCAGCACAAAGAAAGCCTTCCCCTCTTCTGGTCAGTGCTGGCTGCATCCCAGCCCTCTACCCACTGCAGAAAGAGATAGTTTTTCTCTCTCAGCCTCAGTTTCACCATGTACACAGCAAAGGGTGGAGCAGTCTGAGCTACTTGATATCTTGTATATCATATATCCCCACTGACAATTTAATAAAAGATACAGACCCCAGAAAAATGCATTGATGAGGATGGGGGGGGTTGGTACTAGGGACTGAATCCAGGGTCTTTGCACTAAATTACAGCTTCAGCCCATTTTAATTTTATTTTGAGACAGGGTCTCACAAAGTCACTTAGTTGCCTAGGTGTGATTCTCCTGCCTCAGCCTTCCAGAATGCTGGGATTGTAGCCATGCAATATCATGCCTGACTATAAATATGAAAAAACTCTACATACAATTTCAGGGGATGATAGGCTCCACCAAGAATCCATGAACTCCAGGGGAAGCTGTCAAGGGGCAGTGTGGGACACTACTTAGGCTTCTGGACTCTGGGGGCCAGAGACACCCAGCTTTGGATCCTGGCTCTCCTGCCAGGCTCTGTGACCTTGTTACAGGGCTTTACACTTGATCTTAGCCAAAAGGCCAAGAAGCGATTGTTACAGAGCTTTAACCCTGTGATTATACTCACCTGCGAAGCTGTGCAAGAACCAACTGAGACCCTGCCGTCAAAGGTTTAGCCAGGCCCAGCACCAGGCCAGCAGCAGGAAAAAGGAACTTCCAGTGCTCAAGAAAATCAGTAAAGAGAAAAAGAAAAAGAAAGAAAGAAAGAAAGAAAGAAAGAAAGAAAGAAAGAAAGAAAGAAAGAAAGAAAGAAAAGAAAGAAAGAGAAAGAAGGAAAAGAAAAGAAAGAGAAAGAGAGAGATAGAGAAAGAAGAAAGAAAGAAAAGAAAGAAGAAAGACAGAAAGAAAGAAAGAAAAAAGAAAGAAGACAAGAAAAGAAAAATCAGTGCGGCTTGAACAACTCGGGTTCATGGGCTTCCTACCCGCAAAGTCTGATTCCGCGGGTTTGGATCGAGGTCATAAATGTGCCTTGGAAAACAGTCACTGCCTCTCAGCTGTGACAGGAGTCAGTTTGAGAAGCACTTTGTCTTCCAATCTCTTGACAGAGAGTCTAGTTCCTAACAGGAGACTGGCTGCTCTGCACAGTGTATTCTCAGCTACTCCGAAGGCTGAGGCAGGAAGATCTCTTTCAAGCCCAGTCTGGGTAATTTAGAGCTCAAATCAAAAAACATCAGCTCAAAAAAAGTGGGAGAGGAGGGAGAGAAGGAGAGTCCAATAAGTTTCCAAGCGAACTCAGAAGAGCAGACAGGTGCAGCGGCGGGGCACATCCTGTCTTCGGATGCCCCATCCCCAGGCCCGCCCTCTCCCCCAGCGGGTGAGCTCGCGAGAGTCCTGGCTGCAGAGGCGCCTCCTGGCCAGCCCTTAAGCGAGATCCCGACGCCCTCTGGCGCGACCGCCAAGGTAAAGAGCGAAAGGAAAGATCTCCCTGGAAAAGAGAAGGAAGGGAAAGCGAAACCTCCTCGCGCAGACTTTCGCTTTCGTCGCCTCCACGCGCCCTCCAGGAGATCCCCTGATCGAGAGCGAGGGTCGGGCACCCGCGCGCCGGGGACCTGGCAGAGGCGCGCTGCGCTCCCTCCCCTGGCCCGTGGCGGGAGGTGGCAGGGAAGTGTTGGTCGGCAGGGGACCTGTGGCGGGAACCCAGGGTACCCTGCGTCTCCGCGACTGGCTGGTGGTGCAGATTGAGAGCGGATGCTACGCCAGGTTGTGCTGGGAAGACCCGGCAAGACCCTCTCCCGCATCCCCTGAAAGCTCCAGCCTCCCCTCCAAGCCCCAAGCAGCTGCCGCCCGACGCTGCCCCCGGACGCTGCCCCCGCACCACGTGCCTAGACCACACTCCCCAGCCCACCTGGCACCTGAGCCCTGGCTGCTGTGGTCTTCCTACCCCATTGTGCCCCTTCCAGCTGATCTCAAAGCCCCTTCCACGGGCTCCCAGGACAACCACAGGACCTCACCGGCTTCCTGCTTCCCCAGCCCTCAGCAACCCCAGGTCCTCCAGACGGGCCTTTCAAGAGGGGCACTTCTCGGAGTCCTTCCACAGTTCCCCATTTCCCTGTGAAAGAGACCCGCTTCCTCAACCTGGGCTGAGAGCCCTGCAGGTAGTGCCCCGCCCAGGTCTCATCTCTGCTCCCTCCCCTTCACTTCTCTCACTTTCTAAATGCTTCATCTCTCTCGCCATTTGTGCTTTGTACACACTGTCCCCCTGCCTACAACTCCCTGTTCGCCTTCGCCTGGCCAAGAGCGTCGTCCTCAGCTGCAGCCTGTCTTCCTCTGGAGAGCCCTCCTGATATACTCGATGATCAGACTCATTCCACCGCAGCTCAGTTTGCCCCCGACGCCGACCGCGTTCCCTATGGGTTTTAAGTCTGAGCTGAATCTGACCCTTATACCACACCGTGAGCTGCCTGAGGCTGGTGACACTCAACACCGTCCCTGGCACACAGCAGGTGCTCAATAAGAGTTCAACAGGGGGTTGCATGTCCTATCCCTGAAGGTGGATCTGCTGCTACTCAGAGCAGGGAGATTCTGGGGCTGCCCTCCCCACCCTCAACCATCTGACATATACATGTGACTCTTTGTCCCCAGGGACATGTGACTCTGCTGCCCCAAAGTCTAGGGGATAAAGCTTGCCTTCGAGGACATACACAAGCTGGCTTCCACCTATCTCTTCTTCCTTCTTTCATTCCCTTCCCTCCACATACAGTCAACCCTCATTACTTACGGGTCCCATGTTTGCAAATTCTGTTACTTGCTAACGTATATTTATAACCCCCAAATCGATACGTGGGTCATGTTTGTGGCCATTCATAGACGCACACAGAATGGCAGGAAATTTCAGCTACCCGGTGGGGCTGTTTGAAGCTGAAGGCAAACTAGGCAACTCTCTGCTTTCGGGTTTCAGTTTTCCTCATGGAAATAAGTGTCCTTTGCTGCACTGTTCATTTTTCATGCCTTTTGTGGTAGTTTCACTATTTTGATAACCTGCAAGCATAATGCGAGAGTGGTTCTAGATGCTTTGTTCTTCATTAGCTTTGTTCAGGCATGAGGTATATAGAGCTACCGACCACAACTGCAATGTTAAGAAATCAACAGTAAGTACTAAGAGTGTCCTGGAGTTAGCCAGCTTGCTGTGACAAAGTACCTGAGAAAATCTACCTAATGGAGAAAAGATTTGTTTGGGCCCATGGTTTCAATGGCCTATGATCTCTTGGCTCTGTTTTTCCTGTGTCTGTGATGAGGCACGACAGAGTGTGAGGCAGCAGAGCTGCGCGCCTTATGGTGACCAGGGGCAGGGGCATTTACAGCGAAGCCGCTGCCCCGAGCTCAGTGTAGTCTGAATCCCCCCATGAGGTGAGCACACCCAGAATCCACTCGCTTCCAAGCCCCCACCCTGCAAGCTGCTGCCTCCATGACCAAACGTTGACCACATGAGCTTTTAGGGACATTTCAGACCCCCAACCACAGCAGTCTGTGGGCAGAAACACACATTAAACAAGGTTATGCAGTGACTGGTTGGAACCCGGCCCCGCATTTCCCCAGAAGCAGCGGTTCTGCACTGGGTGGCTGTTTGCAGGGCCTGGTGGGACAGAACCACCTTGAGTCACTAGAATCCGCTGTACATAGCCTCACACAGGCCCAGCTCCAGCGCCACCAGGCTGGTCACTGCTCCCTGAATGCACCACGCCCTCCCACTCTGCCAGGCTTTTCCTCATTCTGTTCCTTCTCCCAGGAAAGTCACTCCACCTTTCAAACTCAATTCACCCTTCAAGGTCCAGCTCAGGCCACTCAGCATGCATTTATTAAGCATCTCCTGCATCACAGGCACCATTCAGTGTCTTGGGACAGAGTAGTAAACAAAACCAAGAGCCCTCTTGTTATGGTAATAGTTCTGCCTTGTGCCCATGCTACCTTTGGGTTTAGAGCATCCTTAATTCAATGAATAAGTCCTGCAGTGAGCGGGCACCTACTGTTGCCAGACATTGTGCTAAGCATTTTCTGTACACCAGCTCATCTTGCATCCATCACAACCATGTGAGGTTAGTTATTACCAATACCTGATAGAGACCACTATGAAGTAGCTCTGAGCAGGATTTAATATTAACCAACTGGCTTTTCATGTTTACACCTGAGTTTGCCCAAGGCCTAGGCCCTTGTCCAGAGATGGGCAGTGGACTCATAGTAAGTGAACCTCTATGAGTCACTGGTCCCCACAGAGGCCTGTATTGTCCTGTGAAGTTGGCATGTCTCAAAGGACAAGATAAGACCACAGCTGAGGATATTTGGCTCCAACCCCAATTAACTAAAAGGAGACTGTAGCTGCAGGCATCTCCCTCCTGCCGTGAAGGCCTTCCTAGAGTTAACATAGTGTCTTGGTTACTTTTCTCTCATTGCTGAGACAAAACACCCAACACCCAAAACTAAGGAAGAAAAGATTTATCTGGCTGACGGTTTGTGGAAGTTTCGGTCTGTACTTGGCTGGCTCCAAGGCAGAGTGGCACATGGCAGAGGGCAACTGTTCTGGCAATGGAAAACAGCAAAAGCAACAAGAGCAAAATGGAGGAGCGGTGGCAAGCAGCCTCTTTCCCTCCCTTACATTGTTTGCAAACCACCCGCCCCAGGGCAGGTGTAGCAGTCACATCCGTAATTCCT